ATCAATAGAAATCATAAGGTTTCAGGACTTTAGAACAACCCTATAATAATAGCAAAAGAGGCAACATTTATTGAGCTCTTGTGAGGACTCAGCGCTGAGCACTTTGGCTAATCTTGTTAAAACTTCACAATAACTGTCAGACATTCATTTATCGAATCCTGCTTGATAGGTGAGGAAACTGGATTACATAACTTATCTCAGTAGACGAAACTGCTAACAGTGCTATAATTAAAATACCAACCCAATCAGCTTGCCTCTGACAACTTTGTTTACTGCAACAAGTTACAGAGCTATCGTGTTTAATTCTACTTATAAATCATCTGGTCCTGAAAACAATTGTGGTTTCTTTGCTTTATAAAATACTTCCTATTTTTTAAAAAATGTGTTGGATAAGAAAGGCAGACACTTAGTCTTGCCAAGGACATTATGTTCAATCATGCTAGAACATCCAGAAATAATTTATAAATCGGTTTGACACTCAGTATTTTGCAATCTGAAATAAGACTTGAAAAATATGTAAAAGGCCAAAATGTGTTCATCCACAATTCAGATCATTGCGTCCTATGTAAGAGACAGAAAGAAACCCCTTTCTATTCTTGTCTCGGGGCCAGAGTAAGAAAAATTGAGTGGACACTCCCGTTTGCTTCCCCAGAGACAAGGAGTTTTGAAAAGCACAGACGAAGATTTTGGAACTCTGGAGGAAAGCTGAGGTATTGGAGAGTCAGAGTGAGTCCAGAAGTTGGGGAGCGGACCAGTCGGTACGACACAGAAGCAATGAGAACCGACTGACTAACATCACAAGCACTTACGCATTTTTTAATGGGACTGGGTAACACCCCAACAGAGAACTCAGAAAGGGAGCTAATATTAGGAAACTCTAGCCCAATATCTTAAGGCAGAGCAAATAGGCTGTGGGAGTTCATGGATTATGAACTTGGGAGGTGATGAAAGGGCGCCATGGCACTCGGAGCCAGAGTGTATCTCTCTGAGGCCTGAGATGGACTGACCAGGAGGACCTGCAAGGGCCGCAGCAGGAGGGGAAGAGCGATGGCTCACACACGGGAAGCAGCCCACTGGGGACACTGTGCAGGCGCCTCTCTGAGGAAAGACATGGAGAGCCAATTACCCTCAGCACAGGCAGCTCAAGCTCCACAGCGCCCATCGTCATCTGTGATCAGCTGAATTGCTCCCACCCTCTTGCCTGTGCGTTCAGTTCCACATACCAAGCAGCCACAGCTCCTGCATCCACCCGAAAAATACATAAACAAATAAAAACCGTTAAGGATAAGAGTCCCCTCTAGTGGTTCTCAGGAGAAAATGCCAAGTCCGGCCCTGTGTCAATTCTAATTCATGGGGACCCTGTAGGGCTGAGTGGCGCTGCCTCACCCCCTCTCCTAACACAAACTGACAATAAAAGAATGGAGAAACATATCCCATGTAACCCATTCTGATGTCTGGTCTTAAAAAAAAGACTTTAAATCAAAATCCATGGCAACATACAAAGAATGCAATAATAAAAGGGTCAATCCAGCAAGAAGATATAACCATTTTAAACATATCATGCCTAACAACAATGTACCAAAATATATGAAACTATGCAAAGGTAAATAGTAATAACCAACTTCAACACACCACTGTTAAGTACCGCAGAGCCTCCAAAAGGATCACTAAGGACATTGAAAGCAAGTAAACCCACAAGCCAATTGGCCCCAAAGACAAGCACATATAGAGCACTCTGCTAGCATCGAAACAGGGCATCTTTTCCCTCAGCACACGTGGATCACTCCCCAGAATAGACGGTATGCTGGGGCACAAAACAGAAAGATGCAAATCATATTCTAATGTAAATTCTTTTTCTGTTACTTTTGACTTGCGATTTTGAGACACGCACAACATAAGTCTAACTCCCTAGAAAGTTGGAGCAGCCTAGCCTGATTAACTTTTGCCAAAGCCATTGAGATTTTAACAAAATTATTATTTGATACTTGATTCTGGATTATAAAAGTTAAAAAAGGCATTTAGTTGTATGAGCCCCCAATAAAATTATTAAACCAAAAAAGGCATTTAACTCATGGCATGGAAAAGGCATTTAAAACTCCTGATGTAGAGTAGCCAGGAGTATTTATAAAATAAATAATTTTATTAAATGAATAAAAGTATTTATTTACTTTTATATAGGTAAATAAATAAAAGCCTAAATGAATGAATGAAATGAAGGAGGTGGCTATTTACACCCTTAGCCCTCTATTTAGAAGAATTCTCTGTTTTGCTTTTGAATGGCGTGATCTGGGAACAGACATTTTAGCTTTGCTGATGCATATTGGTGGTGATAATGCCTGGCATTGGGACACAGTGACAGTAATACAGATAAGAAGCATGGCTGGATGGGAGCAAGACTTTGCAAACTTACATTTTTTAAAAAACTTAAAAATCAAGTGTCATTTCCAGAAAATGCTGGAAACCCCACATGTGATAGTGTGCTTGCCTGTGTACTGAGAGGTATCTATCTTATACTGCAGCTCTCTTAGAGGCCTTTCTTATACAAGATGGCCTGGCTTATGAACAAGATCTGTTCCCAACTGTGTCTTTAAGTCTTTAAAGTGGAATTGGTAGATGAATCAAAACAGGTGTATATAGTTCTAATTTAGCCATACTTTACAGCAAGATAGGCCTCTGACACCTTTTCAATGATTTAAAAGTTGCACATGCAGCAAATGAAGGTGACCGTGCTAAAGAATTTGTTGTCAGTACGCTTGGTTAGAACATTTCAAATAAGAGCGAATTTCCATAACATGAAAGAGCAAGTATTACTTGGCCATACGTTCATTACCAGGGGACTGCCTGTATTACAGAGAACAATGTACATTTTTGTCCAGCACACAGATCATTCTCCAAAATGGACCATATGTTAGTGGTTAGTAACTAACAACTTTGCTGAACCTATAGCTTCTTCAAGAATAATTGATTCTATTTATAGAGCACCCATTTCAGAGATGAGAAGACTGAAGCTCAGGAGCACTGACTCCTCCAGGCTTATAGAATCAGAAAGAGTTGGATTCGGATTCAGGTCTGACTCTAAAGCTCCGGCTCCGGACCAAGCCACTTCTTTCAGTACTGGGTTAGGGAGGGCGGAATCTAAGGAGAAAATTGAATATTCTAGCTTGAAAGTAATGAATGTGTATGAATAATGATGAGAAGAAAAGCAAATACGAGCAATTGATTTATTGTAGTGGCAGGATTGTAAATGAGTAATTTGTTTCATTTACCATTCTGTGGAAGAGGCTGTAGTGCTGTTTAAGTAAAACTAAAATTTGCAACTGCTCAGTGCCCACAAGCTTTCTGTTCCCTTATACTCCACCCAAGGCCAAACAGTAAGATTTGTACTATTTGCAAGATAATGGGTTAATCTCTGCATGTGAAGATCTCAGGAAGCATTATTTAAATTTTATTAATACAAGCCTTTTGGAAACTGTGTTGGTTTCGAGTATACTGAATCATCATGTGTTGCTTTTTCAACAATTTAATGTGAGAGACATTGTGCAGTGGACACTAATTGTTGTGGCTAGCTGCTGTCAAGTTAGTCCCCACCACGGTGACCCCATGCACAACAAATGAAATGGCCCGCGCTATTCCCACGATCATTTGTGGATCAAATCACTTAGATCCAGAAAGTTGTCACTGACTGGTCTTCAGAAATAGCCTGTCAGACCTTACTTCCTCATCTGCCCTACTGAAACTTGTCCCGCATCAGAGCAAAACAAAAGCACCCAGTTAGTGACAGCTTATAGCTACGTCATGGGTGCATTGGCTGGGAATTGAACCCAAATCTCTTGCATGGAAGGTGAGAATTCTACCACGGAACAACCAGTGCCCCCACCTTCAGGTATAGCACTCAGCATAGCATGTGTTATCTCCAATTTTACCAACACACACTCACTTATGCTTAGAACCAATTAGAATATAGAGGTTTCATCTTTATCATTTGAAGTTATTTGATGGAAAACCCAAAACTGAGAGCAGATAGATTCACACCAGGTTGTGAAAACTCCCTGCCTCCACAAGTATTCTTTGACTTGAAATTCTCTTTTATGTTCTGAGTGTGACACAGGGTTTACTGGTCCTCGAAGAGGTAGGACAAAAGATTATTTAGCCTCCCCAGAAGGGCTAGAAAGAGGCGCTGTCACCATGAACTAGGATGCTAAATATCCTACAGTGTGCCCAAAGAACTGCCAGTAGTAGCCCTAGCGAGTTGCACTAAAAGGCGGAGCAACCAGCCCCTATTACACACCATGACTTTTGTATGTCTGTATGTGCTACAGCTCACCACCTATGTTAGGCTGGGCTGTCTAGAGAAACAAAACCAGTGACACTCATATGTATGAGAAAGAACTTTATATCAAGAATAATTTTATATCAAGAAGGCTTCCCAGCCCAGTCCAATTCAAGTGCATGGACCCGATAGTGGCCAGAGCCTTGTTCAGACTTACATAGCTTCTGACTGATGATCAGGAAGCAGGGAATCACAGGCTGGTGGGTGCAGAGTCCCGCCGGTAAGGTTGCAGAAACGTGGCCTGGCACCCAGCTTTCTAGGGCAGTGATCCACATGGCCCCCCGAGGCAGACACAGAGTCCCAGGGAGGAGGAAGGCTAAGGGACAAAGGAAGAAGTCCCCTGTGTCTAATCAAAAGGCCACATCCCTAAGGAAACATCAACAGGCTGTGACCTGACTGATCGGTTGGGCTCCACCCCTAGATGTTTACACAGGTTCCAGTTGATGAAAATCTAGCCACGTCACCGAAACATTATAGTTAGGGTTCATCAGTAAAAAAAGAATCTATTACCCAAGGGGGAGATTATATATGTGTGTGTGTGTGTGTGTGTGTGTGTGTGTGTGTGTGTGTGTATGGAACCAAGAGAGAGATATATAAGGGGGATTATATATGTATATATATATATGGAACCAAGCATGATAATCATTCATCTTTGTATCTTCTTCTTTAGGAAACTGTTGATGATGGCCGAGCAAGTATCTACCAATCGGTCATCACCAACACCAGCAAAGAAATGTCCTGTTTTAGTGACTTCCCGATGCCTGAAGATTTCCCAAACTTCCTGCACAACTCAAAGCTTCTGGAATACTTCAGAATTGTTGCCAAGAAGTTTGATCTCCTCAAATATATTCAGTTCCAGGTATCGTATTTTAAGGAAAAGGGTCTTTCTACATTACAGGTGACATTTAAACAAATAGTTGCTTTAATGAAGAAAGATAAACTCCAATCTAATTCTTCTCTGAATTATATGAGCATCATAGCATATGCAAAAATTAGAATTGTTGTAACTGAGACTTTAGGTTATATACACTAATAAAGAGAAAAGCCATGTGTTAAAGCTAGAAGTTTGGGACGATGATGATTCTGATGGAGAAGCTGCATTTAAAGTAGTATCTGCTCCCACGGACTCTTCCCGGCCGTATCTCCTTTGGAAAGGCATCTGAGGAGAAGCAAACTGCTGTTTCATTTTCTTATCTTCTCCATAGAAACAGCATCTCTTATAAACTGTGCTGAATAAACTCTCTGCTCTCCACCCATCTCAAAAGGCTGGAGCCACCATTTTCAGCTAATTATTTGTCTTTTCTGTATACAATCTATAAACACAAAGTCAGATCATTTTGAAATACACTTAGAATTCCCTTTTCCTGTGATTCTTCAAAAGTAATACTCAATAAGAAAAAAATATTCTAAATGTTCTGTTTTATCATTAACCTATATGCTGAGGACTATAAACTCTGCTCAGAAAATAATATTTCAATTGTTTCTCCTATTAAACTATGAATAAAATTTTTAGCCCAGCTTACTTTCTCTGTAATTCTAGTTTTGTACATATAATAATTGCATTAGCTAATTCCAATAGTTTATTTTGATAGGTATGTGTATTTGTAAGTACCATTAAAATGTACAGTTCTACCTAATGTCATTTTCCCCAAAATTCCTGGTAGGTTAGTCATCCTAACACTGGTCTATTTAGATAAATGACTTATTATTTATGCCAGAGGATTTGATAGGTCTCTGTCCCCTTGGTTATCAATCTATTTGACAGAGACATTGCATTCTTTTGACTGTGCAATTTATAGTATCTGTTCCTTTAAAGATCATGTTGTAGTTGCAAGGGACTGAGGTAATTTTCCTATGGATTGTGTTACTGCTGCTATTACTTTATGGTGATGGGAAAGGGTCAAGAAGATTCCTTTCTATGTTTGGGACACTGAGGTGACATAAGCTATGAGCTACTGAGCCTCAACTCAAGAAGAAGACAAGCTATAAAAACTCTGTTGCATGTGATTGTCAATTTAATCTACAGTCGTGCTTCTCAGTCTGAAAAGTGAGTGATTAATTTCCTGGAGAGCTTGTTAAAATGCAGATTCTCATTTAGTAGGTCGAGTATGGGGCTGGTGACTCTGCATGTGGAGCAAGCTCCCAGGTGGTGCTGATGTGTTGGTCCTTGAGGATCTACCTGCTGTTCACATATTATTTAGTCAATATATGCCTCCCAACTATAAATCTGAAGTACTTTCAGCTGAAAACAACCCCATTTTATAGCCCCTTCATAAGCATATACAATTTTTCATTGGGGCAGCTTCAAAAATTGCCAGCTCAACATTTTGAGAAATACATGAATATTCAAAATCTTATCTAAGGAGCACAGACACAGGCCAACAAGCAGCGCATGTCATTCCTGTAGGAATGAGTAAAGTACATGCTTTCATCTGATGTGGTTCTGATGAAGCAGACACGCAATAGTCAGGGGGTTTGTTTTTGATTATTCCAATCAGTGGCTCCTTGATAGAAAGTAAACTACAGTACAAATCCAACCACCAATAAATGCCACTCGACCTACTAAATGATCTCACGAACTGTATTGTCAACACAATGAACTGCTTTAATAATACAGAAACCATAACACCTACCATTCATAGAGAGTTTGACATGTGCCAGGCACTATGCAGAGCACTTCATAAAATGTATCTTCTTCAAACAGAACCCATATAAATGCTAACCTCGTGGCCGCTGGAATGATTGGCACTTGTTTTGTGTCTTTTCCCAGGCCTTGCCTGCTTTTTCTTCTCCCTCGGGTCCGTATTCCAGACTTCACATCCTTTAAAAACTGCTGAGTCAGGCCTCACATGAAGCAGAATAGCCCACAAGCTATTTTTTTCCATGTAAAATAGCCTGGCTCTCTGCCAAAGCACAATAATGAGAAGAACATGCTGAGCAGTCCTCACTTTAAGTAGCTTGCAAGGGAGTCTACGAAACCCCAGGTGGGGTTACATGTTACTCTGTACCCACCGACATTTCAAGGACATTGTGCACTATGTCCCACATTATGTCCAGAATGACTCTGAATGATATGTTCTCTGTTTTTATTTTCAAGACAACTGTCCTCAGTGTGCAAAGACGCCCGGATTTCGCCTCGTCTGGGCAATGGGAGATTGTTACAGTGAGCAATGGCAAGGAGCGAAGTACCGTCTTTGATGCAGTTATGGTTTGCAGTGGGCACCACATCCTACCCCACCTCCCACTGCAGTCATTTCCAGGTGAGGCCTGCAAGGGTCCCAGATTTTAGAAGGCATGGCCGAGCACTTTACATGCAATTTGGATCGAGAGGCAGGATTAACAGTTGTGGCGACATAATATTAAGATCAGCATTGAGCTCAAAACATGAAAAACTCCAAACATTCTATTTGCTTCTAATGACCTTTTGGGGTTTCCATACTATAAGAAGCTCAGCTGGCTTGCTCCAAAGTTGCTAAATCTTCCCCAGATTTGCAGAGTTCTCCCATCCAAAGTGTTGGAGAAGCTTGCGAGCCATGTGCCTAGGTTGGCTCCTTTGTATCCTGCCAACTACCTGTGGCTTTGTTGCATCCCTGGAGGCAATGGGCAAGGACAGGGGTTGCTGGGGAGAGCTCCTAGGAAGAAGAGCTGCTACAGGACAGTGATGAGGACAGGGGACAGAGAAGGAGGACAGGTAGCATTGGAAACCCTGCAGCCATCTGCCTATATGGTCCCAGGCATTGCCCTAGAGAGCATACTTCCTTCCCAAACCAAAGCCCACTGCCATGGAATTGATTCTGGCTCATAATGGACCTACAGGGTGGAGGAGAATTGCTCCATGGGGCTTCTGAGATTTTCAATCTTTCAATCTTTGCAGTGGTTTTCAACTTTCCTAATGCCACGACCTTTTCATCCAGTTCATGTTGTGGTGACCCCCCCAAGCATAAAATTATTTTTTGTTGCTACTTCATATCTGTAATTTTGCTACTGTTATGAGGCAGGCAACCCTTGTGAAAGGTTCGTTCGACCCCCAAAAGGGTCATGACACACAGGTTGAGAACCGCTGCTTTATAAGAATAGACAGTCTTGTCTTTCTCCTGTGATCCTTGCCAAGACCATGGAAACATCTACAATGCTGATGCTCATACAAGGCCTCAATTAGAATCATCTATGCATGATGGGGCTTTCTACTCTTGTTAATAGGTACAATCGGAAACCCACTGCCCAGGGGCAGTTCTATCCTGTCCTATAGGGTTGCCATGAGTCAGAATTGATTTAATGGCTGTGAGTTTGGTTTTCACTTATGGACCTTCAGTGACACTGTCAAGTAAGCTATGGCCTGGGTCTGCATTTCCAAACCACAGGCCATCTGCTCCTGGCTGGGACCCCACCCGCAAAGATTCAATTGATGTGGATGGGATTAGATTAAGTAGAGACTGCTTTAAAATAAAAAGAGGCCTCACTGCCTGTGAGCTGATGCCAAGTCATAGCAACCCCATAGAACTGGGGAGTACTGCCGCTGAGTGTCTGTGACTGTAAGGCTTCTCCCTCGGAGCTCCTGGTTGGTTTTGAACTGCTGACTTTGCAGTTAGCAACCCAACTTGAAACTGCTCTGCCCCCAAAGCTCTGATGCCAGCAGGAGTGATGCCTACTCGTTTGAAAGGCTGTTCTCAGACCACATTGAGCATGTCATCAGTATCACTTTGAGTGCTTCTCAAAACACAAATGTTGTGGGCCTCATCCCCAGCATTTTGATTCTGTAGGACTGTCCACTTGGCTGCTAAATGAAAGGTGGCAGTTCAACTCCATCCAGCAGTTCTATGGGAGAAAAGACCGGGCAATCAGTTCCCACTAAGACTATGGCCTAGGAGACCCTGTGGGACACTTCTGTTCTATCCAGTCAGGCCACCAGGAGTCAGAATCCACTCTACGGCCCTCAATAACTACTGACTTAGTGCAGCCTTTTGTGGCCCAGGGATTTTACTTAATAGTTATTATCTGCTTTCAAAATAAGAATTATATATATTATCCTAATTAATGCACACAGCAAGAAAATATTTGAGGAAATGATTAAATTTTAATCATTTAAGCAGTTCTCAACCTGTGGGACCCAATCCCTTTGGGGGTCAAACGACCAGTTCACAGGGGTTGTCCGATTCATAACAGTAGCAAAATTACAGTTATGAAGTAGCAACAAAAATAATTTTATGGTTGGGGGTCACCACAACATGAGGGTCATGGCATTCGGAAGGTTGAGAACCACTGGTTGTATTAAAGTATCATTGTGCTGTCCACAAGAAGGCAAAAAATAGCGTCAACAGCCAACACCTGATTCTGCTCTTAATTCCTCAAAAACCATTTCCTTGTCTGTAAACATATAAGCTACCCCTTAAAATCAACTCTTTTGATCCTGTACTATATGCATCATCTAGCATCTTTTTATTGTTAAAAAAATCATAGGAAGCTTTATTAGAAAAAAATGTTTAATGTGTAAGGGCTAAAGTAGAGGGCAAATGTTTTGAGATTGATGAGGACAACAAATATACATGTGTGCTTGACTCAATGGATGTATGTATGGACTGTGATAAGAATTGTATGAGCCCTCAATAAAATAAAATAAAAAAAGAAATTCTGCATAGAAAATTTGCAAGAAGTAAACATGTAAAAATCATATTAGTTATATAGTAAATTTCTAAGGATGATAGGACTATAACCACTCAATTTTGTAGGATTAATTTATGTAAACAGTTATTTTTAAAGAAAATGTTGACATTTTTGTCATTTCATTTTTATAATGCTGCTATTTTCTACAGTTTAAAAACAAAAATTATGGCTTCTCTTATTTCATTTCAAATTTTTATCCTTATAATAATATTACTAATCTTTTATTTGGTTCCAATATTTTAACGATGTTGGCTTTGAAAATTCTCCAAGGATTTTTATATTTGGAAAAAACATATTAAATATTAAAAAATGTTTGTGAAGCTACTCCTATTTTAATAGTTTTAGTGTCATAGAATTCACATGTCATACAATTAAACCATTCAATCATATTAACAAGAGTTTGACGGGCATCCCACAATTAATTTCGGAACCTTGCCTTCTCATACTCACTGTTGTCAGCTCCCCATTGCCCCCCAGGCTCCCCTGCCAGCCCCCGGGGCCATTATCCATCCAGTTACTGTTTTTAGAAATCTACCTATCCTGAATGGCATATACATAATATGATACCAAACATAAACAGGAAGCAAACAAAAAGAACAATGACTAGACAATGTAGGAAAAAAACCTCAATTCAAAAGAAAGCAGAAAAGATTAAAAACCAAAACAGTTTTAAGATGAATCAAAAGGACGATTAAGTGATAAGGTGTTACATTTTAGCCTAACTACTCCTACCATAATCCACTTTACAACGCTCTCTGTCTGGTGCCCAAGCTACTCACATCCCTGAACGATGTTCACAGGGGATTCTTTTATGTGTTTTACACTTTGAGGTCATGGTTGGACTTGCTTCTGAGATTCCTCTGTGGGGGAAAGAGAAAGAACTAATAACTGACCCCCGAAAGGTAGAGCTAGCACAACCTTTCCACGGAAATTAACTTGACTCGTAGCTAACTCAGAAGTTTATGGACTTCTCTCTTCTCCTTGAAGGTATTGAGAAGTTCAAAGGCCAATATTTCCATAGTCGCCAATACAAGCAAACGGAAGGATTTGAGGGGAAGCGCATCCTGGTGATCGGACTAGGAAACTCGGCCTCCGATATTGCAGTGGAGCTGAGTAAGAAGGCTGCACAGGTGAGCTGTTCTTTGCTCACTGTAGGATGGAGGGGAACGAGGATCGCCATATTGGAGAAGCCTAACCACACAAGTGAGGTTGCAGTCCTTATTAATTGGTCAATAGCGTGCCCAGTGTGATATCACAGCAAACCTGGAAGTCCAGAGGCTAAAGTTGATTGCCCAGCTCTGCCACTAACCAGCCACGTAGTCTAGAACAAGCATTGCATCTCTCGGAGTTGTGATTCTTTCATTTTTAAAATAAGGTGTTTGGACCGGCTTATTTTCAGCAAAAAGGACCTTATTTCTTCCCAGGGGGCGTTAATGAGTAGTTAATCTGTTCATGTTTTGGAGGTGCCTTTTAGAGAGTTAGCACATATTTGAAATATAGATAATCACCAGTTACTTGAAGATCATAGAAAGATTACATAAATAGTAAGTCTCCCAACCAAGATAATTCGGTGCTTTCTACAATCTCCCCACCTCTGTCAGCTTTGCATCTGCTCAGGTATCACACCAGTTGAGCAATGCGGGAGGCAAATGCTGACAGATGACTGTGAATGACAGAAAATAACTCTCTTCTATAAGGAAAGAGATAGAGATGGGAAAATGTCTATGCTTCCTCTCCCCAAAGCATTCTCTCTCACCTTGGCTCTGAATCCAGGAGCCTCCAGCACTAGCCTCCTCAAGTGGTGTCCTCTGGCCACGTGGGACTGACCAGGACCACAATCCACAACCAGCAAACTTTCTGGCCCCAAGTCTTACATTCCTAGAGCCTGAGATGCCCAGCAGTAAGCATGATAGCTAAACAGTGTCTCCTCAATGGGGAACTGAAGGGGTTCCACTGGGGCTTGTGGAACAATCTGCCATCTATTACCAGCCCAGCAATAGAGCAGGTTACTGCGACCAGAGAGATGTACTAGACCCACGAAGTCCTCACCATTTTGTGCAAAGACACCACTTTGAGACTTTAGTGTGAAGAATGAGGAGGCGCTTACTATAGTCTTGGTGAAGAGCTAAGCCAGGAGGCCTGAGGATTAGGGGACAGATGGAGTCACTAGCATCAGTTCCCTTCCTGTTGGGAACACTTACAAATTTTGAGGTTGGAAATAGAATAGAGTAAAACAAGAGGAGTATATTTAGCAGTTAACCAAGTAGCGATTCATGCCCAACCAGTATGTGTTGTCAGGCCTGTGATTTGGACTTACAGCAGATATTCCAAAGATAGAGAATCTTGGATTCCAAAGCTGGTGGCTTCCTTCGGTTGTGCTATATAAGCCCATTCACACACTCAGCTGCTAACCACAAGGTCTGATGGTGAGTCCACTCAACACCATCTGGGATAAAAGGCCTCTTGGTCTACTTCCAGAACGTCACCCACTGGAGACGTTATGGAGCACAACTTGACGTGGATGCACATGAGGTCCCCGTGAGTCTGCGTAGACTCCTCAGCAACTGTGACTTCGGATGCCCTGTTCTGTTTATCTGTCTCTTCTAGTTCCTAAAGCAATCTTTTATTCCAAATGTATCTTTCTTTTTTATTAAATTAATAACATAAATGTGTAATTGTAATAAAATTTCTTACAGAGACTAATAAAAGACAGCCAAAAAGTTTGTGAAAAATGGAATTAAAAGATAAATGGAATTTTCCCACAAACTTTCTGAAGCCTTCTTGTAGGCTAGGGGCGGGGGGTTCTTATACAGTGCCCCACATCTGCATAGGCCTCCATATAAAACATAGTTTTATTGGTCTCGGTGTACAAACATACTCATGCCCCATTTTCTCCTGCTGCTGTCCCACGTGAATTGCCAATTTCATACCTCATGTCAGTTATTGCATAATAGATGTCAACATTTCCATTAGTGCCCATTTTCATTGATGATTGCTCCTCTTCTTTCTTAGGTGCACTCCATATTTCAGGTTGGGTACATGGTCTATTTAGAGCCCTAGTGGCACTATCCAGTAACCTTTAGATTGCTAGCCCCAAAGTCAGAAGTTCAACTTCACTCATCGCTCCTTGAGAGAAAGATGAGACTGTGGGCTCCCATAAAGATTTACTGCCCCAGAAATCCTACATGAGGAACCCTTCTGGCATAGTGGGCAGACTATGCATTGCGCTTCTCACCACAAGGTAAGCAGTTCAAATCCACCAGTTATTCCTTGAGAGAAAGATGAGGCTGCCCGCTCTCTTAAAGACTTAAAAGGCTCAGAAACCAAAAGTAGTAGAGTTCTCCTCTGTCCTCTGAAGTCAACCTTCTGGAGAAAGATTTATCGAACATTTTATAGGACCTACAAATGTAAGGGACAAAATTAGGTCAACCTGCAAATTAAACCTAATTGAATCAAATTAAAGCTGAAAATTAAAAACTAATCTCACCATAGCCCTGAGTGTGCCCTGATTCGGAAAAGCGTGAACATGCTTATAATATGGCGCCCTCTATAGTGCGAGTGCCTGATGGCAGTGACAGATGGTAAGAATATCCCTAGCCATTAGAGTCCGAGTCAGCCCACTCCACTCACTCTGACCCGTGTGATGAAAGAAAGAAAGAATGAAATCCAGGCCAGGGATACCTACCGCCATCAAGTCGATTCTGGCTCCTGTGACGACCCTGGAAGACAAAGTGGAGCTGCCTCCTTTGGATGTCCAAGACTGTACATCCTGAGAGAAGTCGAGAACCCTGGAGCAGCTGCTGATCCTACAGTTAACAATCTAGCCCTTGCATAACCCACGATGCCACCAGGGCTTATTGGCTGTAGGGATAGAAAGAAAAACAATAAGTAAATAAATAAATAGACCATGTTGCACCTAAGAAAGAAGAGGAGCAATCATCAACGAAAATGGGCACTAATGGAAATGTTGACATCTCTTATGCAATAACTGACATGAGGTGTGAAATTGGCAAGTCACATGGGACAGCAGCAGGAGAAAATGGGACATAAGTATGTTTGTACACCGAGAACAATAAAGCTAATGTTTTATATGGAGGCCCATGCAGATGTGTGGCACTGTATAAGAACCCCCCCGCCCCTAGCCTAAATTTCTAAATATTATAAAAATAGTAAATAATATTTTGCTAGTTCCTAAAAAATAAATAATGCTTATCACTTGCCAGGCAATAGTATTGTATGAACTTTACATATGTCACCTCATTTAACTCACAAAGTAGTCCCAGCAGGTGTCATTACTAACCCCATTTTGCCAAGAAAGAAACGGAGACAGAGAAATCATTCACCCAATGTGGCTTAGGTAGTGAATAATGTGGCTGAGATACAAACACAGGCAGTCTAACTCCAGACTACATGATCTGAAAGTTAAAGAAAGTAAATCAGTTTGCTTGTAAGTAAATCTCATTAGGCTGTTTCTCTAGGACAGCCAAAATCAAATAGCTCAAAGAATAGTTTGTCAATATATAAGAAGCAATTCAAATATATATTTTTGACTTGGAGAGTGAAAATTAACTAGTTAAAATATACATTTGAAAATAGATTTAAGAGTTGTACGAGTCCCCAATAAAATGATTTTTTTTTTATTTAAGAGACCATCTGAAAGGATATACATTTGAAAGGAAATATATACATTTAAAAGGAAAGGAAATTACAGTATGCATCCTATTTTTTACTTTCAAAATACATAGCTATTTTAGTTACAGAAGGGGGTTGATTTTCCTTATTAGTTCTACTCCAAAGTTATACCAAACCCACTGCCACCCAGTTAATTGCAACTAACGGCAACCCTATGGAGCAGAGTATTATAGCTCCATGGGGTTCCCGAGTCTATAAATTCTTACAAAAACAGACTCCCTCATCTTTCTCCCTCCCAGTGTTTGGAATGTTCGACAGCCAGTCTTCCAGTTAGCAGCTCCATACACTTCCAGGACTCCTTTATGGTGACGCAGACCCACAGTTATGTCTCTAAAGTCATTTGACGGGCATCATGCATTCCCAACAATAATGGTAATTGTTTACCTAAACTAGAAACAAAACTGGAGGCACATGGACATGGTGAGAGGAAGAAGGATATTTCTGTTAAGGAGCAGCAAACCCCAACTGCAAACATGATAGAGATAAGATGGGTGGCTTCCATCATCAGCTTTAGTCTGGGGATAGTTCAGTGTCTCCACCAAGTTCTCAAAATGTTGTTATAGGCTGCACTCTGTTAGTTCTGTAACACCAATCACTTTTGTGACAAAACTACCGCAGAGCAGTGAAAACTACAAGGCACTTCACTTTTCTGAACTAAGAGTTTACTGGGTCCGTACATCTGATACATCCAACACCTACACAGTAGATTACTCAAAAAGGGGACACATGTCCTGATTTCAACTGCAGTCTTTTTTGCTTACCAGGTATTTATCAGCACCAGACATGGGTCCTGGGTCAAGAGTCGCATATCAGATGATGGCTATCCTTGGGACATGATATTCCACACCCGGTTTGCCTCCATGCTCCGAAATACCTTGCCACGAACGGTTCTGAAATGGATGACGGAACAGCAGATGAATCAGTGGTTCAGCCATGAAAATTATGGTCTTGAACCTCAAAACAAGTAGAGTTATTTTAAAATTTTCATTGCATACTCATTATTACTAGGCAAGTTTGTCTGAAGGTGCTTCTTCTGCAAAACTCCAAATTGCTACCTTGATAGTTTGTATTACAAATGAGAATGAATATTTCATAGGTCCCAGAGTTTGGATACAAAATTTGTTCTCTGTGTCTAAGGGGAAAAAAAAGAAAAATGTTTCATGGGAAATAGCGATATAATCAGCGACTCCCAAAAGTAGAAGTACATGATTGAAAGGGAATTTATCAACGCTCAGCGCTGTTCCATAATGAAGAAGAAACTTTCAAGAGAGTGTGACCCTCTCTGTAGAGAAGTCTTGCTTGGGATGAAAGGTTTTCTAGCATGTCCCTAAGTTCCTTTCTTACATTGAGATTTCATGTTTATGATTTACATTGAGTGTCCAGGGGAAACATGCCACAATCCTTCATTTGATCATTTATACTTTGGCAACTATTATACTTTGGCACACCGTAAGGGTTTTTCATACGAGCAGTTTCGCAACTTTTGATAATCTACTCATTGCTTCTTTGCCAAAAACAAATACCTTTGATCTCAAATATATCTTGAACGTATACTGGTCTTTTAGCACATGCCAATATGAATGTTTATTTCTCTTCAGTTGGTAACAGATTCCTTCCTTTTAAAAAGTAGAATAGCTATTTGATGAAAGGCTATCTTTCAACAAATGCCATGTGTGATGGCTAAGATTTTTGTCAGCTTATCTAGGCTGTGATCCTCAGTTATTTGTAAGATATTATGTAATCATGCCCCATTTTGTGATCTGATGTAAAGAGCCACGAGATGGAGAGGGATTTCCTTTGGGGTGTGGTCTGCATCCAGTATTCATGGATGTTCTTACAAAAATCTCCCTCTCAGGCCTGCTTCCAACTCGTCATCTTCTGACCCTTGGTTCTTAGGAGCGAGCCAGCAGCCAATTTTGATTTGTTAGTACCTACAACCACATGTGGCACAAGAAGCCTCCAGTCTAATGCCTGACTCAGAGTGGGGACTTAACAGCCTCCACAACTGCATGAGCTAATTCCTTGAAATCAATCTCTCTCTCTCTCTCTCCATTCTCAATCTCTCTCACTGTGTGTGTGTTTATGTGTGTATTCCACATCAGAAATGTTCCTGATAGTCTAGTGGTTGCAAATTGGGCTTCAATCCACAAGGTTAGCAGTTCGAAACCACCAGCCACTATACAGGAGAAAGGGCTTTCAACTCCCATAAACAGAGACCAACCCTGGGTCCACAATATAGAACCATTCTTCAGGGTGATCAGCCAGCAACACAGAGGCAGGTTGACCACATGAGTCCACTTCCATCATGGAAAGGGTAGTATTTGGTTCTTACTGGACTAGATACTTATTCTGCAAACATTTTTCCTTCCCTGAAAGCAATGCTTCTGCCAAAACTACCATCTGTGGACTTACAGAATGCCATCATGGCATTCCGTACAATATTGCCTGGGAGCACAGGATTCATGTCACAGCAAATAACAGATGGCAATGATCCCATAACCACACAATTCACTTGTCTTGCCATGTTGCCCATCATCTTGAAGCAGATGGATTGACAGGTCAATGGAATGGCCTTCTGAAAAAGCTCAATTGTGGTGTCAGTTAGGTAGCAATAACTTGCATGGTTGGTGTAAAGTTCCCTAAAAAGTGGTATGTGCCCTAAACCAAGGTCCAGTCTCCAGTGCTTTTCCTCCCATATCCAAGATGCGTGGGTCTAGGAATCAAGAAGTAGAAATGGAAGTATTACTACTTATTGTCCCCGCTAGTGACCCACTTGTGAGGTTTTTTCTTCTTGTCTCTGTGACCCTACACTCTCTGTGAATCTAGAGACCCTCATTCCCAGCTGCAGGCACAACGCTGGTTCCTTTGCACTGAAAGATGAATGCAACTCAGCCCCTTTGGGATCCCCGTGTCTCTGTCTTAACAGGCAAAGAGAGTTACTGCATTAGCTGATATGATTGATCCTGATTCCCATGGGGAAAGTGGATAAATATAATGGAGGTTAAAAAAAATATGCGTGTAATACAGGAGATGCTTTAGGATGTCTCTGTACTACCATGGCCTTTGATTAAAGGTAAGGAAAAGCTACAGAAACTGAATTCTGCAATAACGTCTACTGGCCCCAAACCTTAAGAAATGAATGGTGGAAGAAGGTGTTTGCAGAAATTATGATAGTTATTATTTTTAGTATTTCTTCCTTGTTCTGTTATACATAAATGTGTGTGTAGCAAATATCTTTGTTTCCTCCCTTCTTTTTTTCTGTTACTTATTATGACACATGAAATGTAAACTTGGCGAGTGCATTTTTGGTTATATGTATTTTAGTCGTATCACGTTAAAAACAAGTATGATGTTATCACTATCTTTAGATGTTACATATAGTTTAAGGAGATGTATACAGGTGTCAGATTAACAAGGGATAGATTGTGATGAACAAGATTATGTATCAACTTGACTAGGCCATGATTCTTAGTGGTTTGACAGATTTTACATGATTAACCTCCATGTTGTAAGTTGATGTGAGCAGCCAATTGATTGAAAGGGAATTTTCCTTGGAGTGTGACCAGCATACAATATACATGGATGCTCTGGAAAAGCACTGTCTCTCTCAATCCTGCATCTAGTCCATTATCCTATTCTTGGGACATGCCCAGCAAGCTGCCATCTGACCTACATATTTCGAGTTCATCAGCCCCTGCAACCACGTGAGTCAAGAGAGGGCTCAAGCTCAGAGACTGAAGCATGGATTTGGAACTTGCCAGCCTCCACAAATATGTGACCCATTTCTTGGAAATACATCTCTCCATACGGCCACTTATCAACATGATTATGTACCACGGATCAGGTCGCTGTGCAAAATTGGCATTGTGCATGGAAGATAAGCAGGATGTGGAGGCAACTCTTGAGTCTAGACCCTCAAAAATGCTATACCCCTACATCAGGGCAGTCTAGACACCAAGGACCTGCTGTTCAGGTTGCCACTCAAGTGAACCGGGATCTGAAAGTTGGATCAAAGGTGTGGTTGGTGGCTTTGAGGCTCAAGCAATTTGAAGGGCTGGGATCAAGACTGTCAAAGGAGGCTGCTTTCTATACTCATGCCTTTCTACAGCCTCAGCTCCCTGCTGCCATCAGCAGGTTGAGAGAACCAGGTGGAAATGAGTCTAATCCTTGAAGCCTTGGATCTGTGTCCAAGATCCTGGAGACTAGCTGCCACTTGGGAGAAGAGTTCAGCAGCCCTGACAGCAAAAGAGGAGGTGCCCAATTACCCCCATTATCACTGCTAAACTTGATCCTTCCAAGACACTTGAGTAGAGGGGAGCCCCCGCAGCAACCTCCCCCGCCCCCAACATTCTCTTTACCCTCCAGTCACTTGCAGGTCTTTCTCCAACAGGATCTCTCAAAATCCTCAATCATTTCTCTCTCGTGAAAAACTACCACAGTGGCTTCTGCAGTGGCTTTCTGGAGAGCAGCTACCTGCTTCAGCCTGATTGACATGGGGACTCTGAGGGCCAAGAGCTAGACCTGGGGAGGAAGCAAGGGTTCATGCACAAGATAGGAGAGGGCAGATTTTTATTGCTATCACAAAGCCAAAATGTTGGCTAACAAGATAGTTGATAATTAAATAGAATTAAATAGAAGGTGTATATAGAGACTTATACATACTAGGGGCTTCCAAAAGTTTGTGAGAAAATTAAAAGATCATAGAATATTTCCATGACCTTCTTGAAGCCCTATCATATATGGGACACTAGTTCTACTTATCTAGGGAACCCAGCCTAAGAGTTTATGTGATTGTGTATGTTTAAGGTTTAAAATGCAATCCTGTAGCCTGTATTCTTTTATTTTTTTAAACCAACAAACAGGAAAACTATTCCAAAATCCATAAAAAAGAAAAACACAAAAAAGCAAATAAATTGTGTTCCTTAAATTCATATTGTGAGAAACTGAGATATCACGGATATTTGGGATCAACCAATATTCCCAAAGATGATTTTATACATTCATTCCTATGTTGATCCCTTAAGAAGTTTCAAAACTGATAGGATTTACATAGCTGTGATCAGATAAAGTTGATATAAAACAGCAATATAGTTTTTAAAAAGGTAGGTGGTATGAAAGAGACTGTGGAAATACCGTGAATAGAATTATCTTCAAGTGGAATAAAATCCACTAAAATAAACAGGGATGACCAGATGCCCTGGCATTTTGCCTAAGCCCCTGGGTTGAAATGTTTGTTATCTGCAGTGTTCACATATTTCCCCGGGTGTTTTAAGAGGAATGGTTTGCAGCATAAAATCAAGTCAGATAAGATGAGTTAAGACAGGTCAACTAGTCACATTTTATGGATTTTTGAAGAACCCTCTAATTTTCAGAGCCATATAATGTAGGGAGGGTTCGGGATTCTTCTGAAAATGGTCCTTCTGAGTGTTTTTTCCTGTGTGTCTCAGATACCTTATGAAAGAAGTAGTGCTGAATGATGATCTCCCAAGTCGTCTGCTATGTGGACTCGTCAAGGTGAAGCCGAGAGTGAAGGAGCTCACAGAAACTACTGCCGTCTTTGAAGATGGAACCATGGAGGAGGACATTGACGTCATTGTCTTTGCCACGGGATATACTTTCTCTTTTCCCTTCCTTGAAGAGACCGTGGTTAAAGTTGAGAATAATATGGTCTCTCTTTATAAATGCATATTTCCCCCTCAGCTGCAGAAATCAACTCTTGCATGCATTGGCCTCATCCAGCCCCTTGGTTCCATTTTCCCAACTGTTGAACTTCAAGCTCGCTGGGTGACAAGAGTTTTCAAAGGTGCGTGAGTAAGCAAGTGGGTAACTGGGGGCTTCACACCATGAGGGGTCTGCTCAATGATAAATTCAGAGTTTAAAAAGTGACCACAAGAATGCTGTCAATTTTGGTTGCTCTCACAAGAGTAACATCCTAAAAAGTCCATGGATAATTCAAATGACAAGTGCAATAATAAATACTTGCAACTATCCGTTTGAAGCATGAAACAATTCGGAGAGCTTCAACTAGCATAAAGTTGATTCTATGACTAGGCTGGAATTGCAAAGATAATAGAATCTTCCCATGAACTTTTTGACTCTCCCTTATATGGTATCCTTTCTTTGAATCATGAGAGATTAGCTTAAGAAGGAAAGCATCTATGACTACATCTTTGGCCTATATGATGTTTTCAAATTCCTCAGACTATGTGCAAATCAAGAGACCTAGGTCTGGTTAATGCTTAAGTAAAAATTAACTTTTTCTTCAAGCATTTTGTTGTGAACTAGGTGCGGACTAACATATCAGATCATTATTTTTGCACCAAATGCATAAACAACTTCTCAAACCTCCCCACTTCTTTTCCTATCTCCTTCTTGTAGTATAGTATCTTCCCCTTCATCCAAGTGAACACATGGCTACCGTCTAGTCTGTTGCTTCCCCTTTCTCCCCTGCCCCTCCCACCCTTGGTCACCTTCCAAGTCTGTTCATGGGTGTGCATATATCTGTCCATGTCATGTTCTTTACTTCTGTAGGATATATACAAACTAGTGTGATTAGGGTATCAAAATTAATGTTTAATACCTAAGTAGATCCCTACAGAGTTTTAGAATTATTGAAAGATGTCTGAGCATCTGTGTATCACATTACTCTCTCCCTGCCTCTGACCCCCGGAGTTCAATTCAACAAAAATGCCTCGAATACCGAACCCTGTAGTGGGATCTGGTGGGAAAGAAAGAAATGAAAACAAGTCCTTTCAATATAATATGGCAAATGTGTTGATAGAGGAATGCACAGAGAGTTGTGGGAACAAGAGAAGGAGCACTGAGCAACAGCAGAGTGGGATAACATGACCAGGGAAGTGGGATGAGGTGGCCAACAGCAGAGAGGAAAAGGAGTCAGGGAAGAGTTCCTGGATGACTGAGTGTGTTAGTCTGGGTACTTTAGATAAACAAATGCACACAAACGCATGTATAAAAGAGAGCTTTATATAAAGGTTAAGTGTGCACATCAAGAAAACATCCCATCCAGTGCTGCCCAATCCCACAAGTCCAACATTAAGCCATATGTCAAACACCAATCCACAAAGTCCTCCTCTATCTCACAAAACACACACTATGACGCCGACTGCAGGAGGAAAGCCAAATCAGTGAATGTGTAAGCATCTCAGCATTGGGAGGGGTCTCCACATGGCTGCTCCTCAGGGAAGATTTGCAGGAAGTGAGCCTTGCCAGCTGAAGCAGGGAACTGCTAGGGCAGCTGCACCCTGGTCTGACCATTACAAAGCAAGAGACCAGAGAACTAGAAAAGTGAGACTTACTGGGCCATTTATCTCTCCACACTTCAATTAACCCCACATTTGTTTATCGGCCAGGTTGGCACAATAAACATTCACTATCTCACTGAGCAAAATCAAGAAGGCGTGAAACGGAACAGGGCATCGGAGAATTGCAATGTTCGAGTCTAGATACAGGAGGGCTTTGTAGATGAGCTCAGTTTGAGGCGCTTTGAATATAAAGTTTCTGGTGGCTAGTCATCCTGATGGGGCAATGGTGAAGCATGTGGCTGCTAACTGAAAAGGTGGAGGATCGAACCAGGAGAAAGACGTGGCAGCCTGCTTCCATACAGAATGCCGCCTTGGAGTTTATAGGCAGTTCTACTCTGTTCTAGGGACTCACTGTGCATGATGGCACCACGTTTTTAGTCATATCCAGGTGGCACTAACTGGTTTTCAACACCTGTCTGATGCTCAGGGGACCCTGTAGACCAGGTAGAACCATAAGCATGATTTCCATCCCTCCCACTGCAGTTCAGGCAACTCCGGACTCCCTACCAGGCTCACTTCAAATCTCATACCTGGTCTCCGTACCTTTGGGCTCACCTCCGTGAAGCCCATTTTCCAAAATTCAGCAATCAGTGGGAGGGATCTATCACCACAAGGTAAACTAATCTTGTTACCACTGCTGCAGAACCCACCCACCCCACTCTCCCACCCCCAACCAGGATTCAGGATGGAGTCCAAACCACTTGACATGGCTTCCAAGTTCCTCCCACTCAGAATTCTCACCTCTTCTCTTACTCACCCTCCACCTCACAGTTTATGTGGCAGGCTGTGCTACACTGGCTGTGTCCCACAAAGTGCACAGGACTGGCACCCACTGGAATTCAGCAGCAAAGCCCTGACTCATAACATGATTACACAGCCAACGTTTCCTTTCAGGATTTAATTACTAGGTGAAGCAACGATCTTGAATCCGACGTACTATTCAAAGCAACCATTTCTGTTCTAGATTTGTGTACTTTGCCCTCAGAGAGTATTATGATGGCAGACATTATCAAGAGGAATGAAAAAAGAATTGACCTGTAAGTATGCTGTTGCTGTTGTTTTAATCTTATATAGAGCAGTGTTTCTCAAAGTATGATGATCCGGCTACCTCTAGGAACCATCTGGCTGCTTGTTAAAAATGCAAGTTCTAGGACCCTAACTCAAGCCAACTGCTTCAGAGGCTCTGTGGATGAGGCTGAAATGTTGCGTGTCTACGGACTTCCTAGATGCCTCTGAAACACACTACAGTTGAAGGCCCAACTAGTTACACATAGCAACAGTTCCAAAACAACATTTTGTCCTTGATTTCATTTCAGTTCTGCTTTGTAGGATTCTCATGTCAGATTCCACTGTAATTGTCTCAAGCTACCCAAACTGTGTATGTAGTTAAAGAGGGTCTGAGGGTTAAAGGTTGAGTGCTGCCAGTGGCCGTGGTGTCCCTAGAAAGCCAGCTGAGGGATCTCACGTAAAAATAAAAGGTATTGGTGTGAAGTGAAGGACTTGGAGATTGCCAAACCAGCTGCCAGAGTCAGTTCTGGCTTGTGGGACTTATGGGACTGAGCAGAACTGCCTCTGTGGGTTTACAGAGCTATACATCCTTCCAGGTGCAGAAAATCTCTTCTTTCTACCTCAGAGCAGCAGGTGGTTTCAAACTGCAGACCTTGCATAACCCAATACACTACCAGGGCTCCTTGGAATTGCAGTGTGTCCTTAGATGGACTGGGGTTCGATAGGGATCAAGTACCCTTGGAAGATTGAGTCTCTTATCACAAGAATGATCCAGCCTTCTGTAGAAGTTATCCCATCCTCAATTAGAATTCCTCTAACATGTATAGAGCATAGACCACACGCCAGCCTAAATGCCAGGGACTTTAATAATTTATCAAGCAAATATTGAACATCTTCTCTGTGCCAGGCAGTAAACTAGGCTCTTGTATATATTCTCTCATAAGATTTTGCAGCAATCCTAAGTATTTTATACTTCCCTAGAGGCTTCCCTAGTAGCTTAGCAAATACTAAATTATAATCATAGTCATTAATTTGTTCACATTACCAGAATGTGCATGAATGCATGACTATTTTTTTAACCATTTTATTAGTGGCTCATGCAACTCTTATCACAATCCATACATACATCAATTGTGTAAGCGCATTTGTACATTCATTGTTTTATAGCCCACTCTCCGTTTGAGGAATAGATTTTCTTTCTTTTTTTTCTCTTTCCTTTTTAAAGAACAAAATTTTTTTCCAAAGCCATTTTATTGGGAGCTAATACAGATATCCTGTTGTTCCATAGTCCAATCACATCAAGAAATTGTACAATCACTCCCATATTCAGTCTCAAAACATTCTCTTCCTTCTTGAACTGCTTGACATCAGCTTCCATTTACCCCCCTAATCCCTCAGCCCACCACCACTGTACCCCTCAAAACCTCTTAGTCTACTGGTCTCTCTCTGTAGGTTCATCAATCCTGGGCTTCATATACTAAAAAACATACAACAAAATTTCAAGAGAGTCACCCCAAATGACAAAATACATCAGAGATAAATCAAAGATGAACAAGCAAAAAACCAGAAAATGTTGAAAACCAGATCAGGCCCAAAGTGTATCAACTGGCAAAATTTTAACAGTTCAAGCCAGGCTTATCATTTTGATCTCTTAGAGTCATCTCTCCAACGCGCTCTGTCTGGTAAGCAGTTCCTTCCCATCCCTCTATATGGAGAGAGGGAAACCACCAGAGGCTTCTTTCCTGTGTAGATCTCACCAACATAGCTTGAGCTCCTACTGTCATCCATAGCCTTCTGCAAACTGGATTCTCACAATGTAGGCTCTGATAAATATTCCCTCCTTTGATTTTGGATTATATGATTTACAATCCTTCAGTCACTGATGTTGGTGTGCTTCTTCCATGTGAACTTAGTTGACTTCTCACTTAGATGGCTGCTTGTTTGGAACCGAGCCTTTAAGACCCCAGACACTACATTATCTGATAGCTGGGCACCATCTCATTTCTTCACTTGCTGTAGCACCTTATCTTTCACGTGCTCTTCCTGAGGGCGAATATTGAGCAGGGCCAGGATGTAAGAACTAATTGTTCTTAAATTGGAGCTAGGATGTAGTGTGAGCCCAAAACCCATTCCTGGATCTTTTTATATATTTTTTAAATTATTAAATTATTTTATTGGGGGCTCATACAACTCATCACAACCCACGCATACATCCATTGTGTCAAGCTCTCATGTACATTTGTTTCCCTCGTCATTCTCAAAACATTTGCTTTATGCTTGAGCCCTTGTTATCTGCTCCTCATTTTCCCCTCCCTCTCCGCTCCCCACTCCCCCATGAACCCTTGATAATTTAAAATTATTATTATTTTGTCATATCTTACACCGTCCAGTGTCTGCCTTTAGCTCCCTTTAGAGATTTCCTTGTTAATTATGGTAGAGAGTCTTATTGATCATCCACCTGGAGCATAAAGATCATCCATTAATATTGTAATTGATAAGCCCCTCGTACTAATTGGAAAAAAATGTTTTCTTGTGAATTGAGTGAAGGTTTACAGTTTTCCATTCAACTATGCATACAGCTTTTGCTTATATAATTGTTGCAATCCCTAAAATCACTTAGCCCATTTTCTCTCTATGTTTCTCAGTTATATTCCTCCTTCATTTTATTTTTAACAGTTTTATTAACACTTCATCCACATGACATATAATTCAATAATTCAATCATACCAAGAAGATTTATATAATCATCAATTAATTCTAGAACATTTTCTTCTTCCTTATACTCTTTATTATTCATGTAATTATGGTTTTTTTTAATTTTATATTACTGGGGGTTCTTACAGCTCTTATCACAACCCAAACATACATACGTCCATTGTACCAAACACTTTACATATGTTGTCATCATCTTTTTCAAAACATTTTCTTTCTACTTGAGCCCCTGGCATCAGCTCCTCATTTTTCCCCCTCCCTACTCCACCCTTCCAGCCCCTTGATAATTTATAAACTATTCTTTTTTTTTTTTCATGGCCTACACCAACCACTGTCTCATTTCACCCAATTTTCTGCTCTCTGTCCCCCTGGGAGTGGGGGGGTCCATACGTCGACCATTGTGATTGGTTCCCCCTTACTTTCCTTCCCACCCTGGTTCCCTGTTACTCCCCCCACCTACCCTTACCCTCCTAGTATCAATGTTTCCCTTATTAGTCCTGAGGGGTTTATCTTCTCTGGATTCCCTGTGTTGCCAACTCTTATCTGTAGCAGTATACATGTTCTGGTCTAGCCAGATTTGTAAAATAGAATTGAGGTCATGGTAGTGGAGAGGGCAGGAAGCATTAAAGAACTAGAGGAAAGTTGTGTGTTTTGTCAGTGCTATACTGCACCCTAACTGGCTCTTCTTTTCCTTGTGGCCCTTTTGACAGGGGGTGTCCAACTGACTACTGATGGGCTCTGGGTCTCCAAAGAACTGGGGGGCAAAGAACATTTATAGAGGTCCAAATACAGGCATGTATTTATGTAAATACATTTATGTACGATGACAGGGAAATAGATTTATGTACATATATTTATTTATAAAGTATTATGGTAGCAGATTGACATTGGGCCTTGACTCAAGTACTCCCTCAATGCAAGAACAATTTGTTCCGCTGACTCAGCACTCTATGATGCTCACCTTCCTGACACGATCGCTGAAGACAAAATGGGTGCATGACACAATCGCTGAAGACAAAATGGGTGCATAAGCAAATGTGGTGTAAAAAGCTGATGGTGCTATTGGTCAAGTTTGGTTCCTTTTTTCTTTGTTGTCTTTTTTTAGTAGTTTTCTTGATATAGTATTCACAAATCATACACTCCCATAGTTAAGTCGCTTTTTAAAAGAGTTAAATATGCATCATCACTATAAGTTCTAATGCTCTCTCCCCTTGAGGCATAGACTTTCAGATGGTATATAAACTCACACTTCCCAAAATAAATAAATAACTCAGACCTCCCACTGGATCTTCCCACAAGAACTCCTTTTATTTTCTCCCCCACTCACTCATCCCTTTATTCTCTCAGCAGCTGTTGAATGAATAATGTGTTTATTTAATTCAAAATATGTTGTAACCCTGCCTTTTGCATGTTCTTTTGAAGGTTTGGAAAGAGCAATAGCCAGATTTTGCAGACCAATTACATCGACTACTTGGACGAGCTTGCCTTAGAGATTGGGGTGAAGCCAGACCCATTTTCTCTCTTATTAAAAGATCCTAAACTGGCAATTAAACTCTACTTTGGACCCTGCAACTCCTATCAGTACCGCCTGGTTGGCCCTGGGCAGTGGGAAGGAGCCAGGAGTGCCATCTTCACCCAGAACCAGAGGATATTGAAGCCTTTAAAGACTCGTTCTCTGAAGGCTTCCTCTACTTTCCCACTTTCCTTCCTATTGAAAATCCTTGGGCTCCTTGCTATTCTTGTGGGCTTTTTACTCCAACTTCAGTAGTTCCAGTCTCCCGGATACAGCTTTTGGCTGCATGGTTTATCTGTACCTCTTAATGGGAAACAAAAACTAAAAATCTACATTCCAAAGTTCAGAGTTAGGAGGGACAACCTGAGAATTAGCAGAATCTGGTATGTATATAAAATCACAAGTTTCGCCAGGAGATTTCTTTCCCATTCCACCTTTTCCTCTCTATAAAAAACAAACTAAAAATAATATATGCTGTATGAATTGTGATAAGAGTTGTACAAGCCCCTATAACATGATAAATAAATAAATAATAAAGGCCTGGGTAAATAAATAAATAATAACACAGGCCTGGATAAGTTCTGCTATATGGGAATTACATAAACACAATTATATACAATGAAAAGGAAGCATGTGGTTTAAAGTATTGGATAAATTTCATTGTCTGGTGATTAGTGAGAAGGTTGGCATTTCAAACTTCCCAGCCATGATGCAAGTGAAAATTGAGCCATCCTGTTTCCATGAAGATTTATGGCCACAGAAACCCTGCTATTCTCTCCAGTAGATTCGCTGTGAGTCAGAATCGACTCAGTGGCAGTAGATTTGCTTTTGTTATTTAATATCCTATACAATGTGCTTGATAATCTTTCTATCTGGACTCTGTTTGATAACAAAGGCCTCATGTTTGCATGATCCATTTGCTTGGGGGGGGTGGGAGGGTGTCACAAAAATACTGGAGAAAAATTGAAAAGGAACTTAGAAAATAGAAACAATGCTGAGACATATTTTTAGAACCTCATATTGAAAGCTGACCACATATCCACATTTGTTATATTTTGACAGAAATATTTCTGTAGAAGTAAACATGCCAGACTAGCTAGCTAATAAATATTTAGTGCTTATCATAGACCCCACATTGCTGTACTCATATTGCAAGTATGATTTCATTTAATTCTTGTAAAAATTTGTGATGTGGGGGCAACTATTGTACCCATTTTACAGAAGTAGAAACTGAAATTCAGAAAAGTTGACTAACATATCTAAGACCACACCATTAGTAAGTGATAGAAGTGTGATTGGATTTTGGCTTTATAAATGAAGATGATAACCTCATCCCATAATACTTACAGAAATGTCTATTATTAACAGACTATGCATTAATAGACTATTTCATGTATACTCACATATGTGTTACTTTGGGGGTTCCTTACATAGAAAACAACACTCTTACAAATATGCTTGAATAAATTGTATTGGTAATTTTTTTATTAACATGCTGCCTAGATCTAAAAAGCACTTGAAGAAATTTACAATAAAAGATGTCATTATTGTTGTTGTCATTGTTGTTGATATTTGCTGTTCAGCCACTCCAATTCATGGCAACCTTATGTGTTCATATAATACAACCAAATCATGGAACCAAACGTTGACTGGTCCTGTGTCATTTTCATGATCACTGATACATTTGAGTTTATTATTGTGTCTAGTGTGTCAATTCATCTCACTGAGTATTCCCTTGTTGATGTTGACCTTGTCTTTACTAAACATGATGTCCTTTTCCAGGAAGGGCCCTTTGCTCATGATGTATACAAAGCAAGTAAGTCAATGTCACAATATCCTCACTTCCAAGGAGGATTCTGATTGTAGTTCTCCTCAGGCTGATTTGTTCACTCTCTTGGTGATTCACGCATAGCAAATTCAATATCCTTTGCCAGCATCATAATGAGAAATACAATAAATGCTACATAGCGGCAGAGTGGCTTAGGCGTTGCGCTGCTAACCACAAGGTCAGTGGCTCAACCCACTAAAATACTAGTTAGCTCTTCTAAAGAAGAAAGATTAAGCTGTCTGCTTCTGAGAACATTTACAGTCTCAAAAATCCTAAGAAACAGTTCTATTCTGTGCTATAAGGTTGCTCTGAATCTGAATCAAGTCTAGAGTAATGGGTTTGATATTATATATTGACCTTTAAGATAATCATTGACATTTAAAATAATTTAAAAAACAAGACAACAAAGTATATCTCCCACTTCTATGGAAAACATTATATTCAGTTCTAATCTTATACCCACCTAAAGCTAAGAGCTAAACAATTTTGCAATCCTTTCATCTGATGAAAGAAAGCACACCAGTTTGTTAGGGGAGATAAATGTTTTTTTGACTTCAAGTCTAAAAACAACACAGTAAGTTCGATTGTCAATAGACATTGAGCAACATAGCAGATAATCATCTGTCCTTTTCCATGAACTGTGCTGTGGGAGATAACCCAGGCCAGGAGTCCAGGCATACCTTATTATTGACCAAGGCCTTCAAAGAGAGGGCAAAGATCAGAGATGTTGCAGATTTAGGTAGTCTCTCCTCTTAGCTCTCTAAAGCCTTTGTGAGCACTGCTCTTAATCTTGGCCGGAATTTCGCCCTAAGCGTCCTGTAACAATGTGCTCGATATCCTTGAAAATGCCAGTAGATATTTTTTCTTCAGAGTCCACTGAAATGGCAACCCTATCTCAATGCAAGGATTTTTGTTTTCATTAATCCTATAAGCAGATTCCTTTGAGAAACAGTTGCAGGTGGTGTGTATGTGTAGTTCTTAATAAAGACTAATTGCTGTGTTCATTATTAAAGATTATTTGTGAGTTATCAGTGCTCCAGTGCCCCCAGTGGTTCTGTAGGAGAAAAGACCTGACAACCTGCTCCTACACAAATTACAGCCTAGGACACCTTCTGGAGCCATTCGCCTCTCATACGCAGGGTCCTTGTATGTTGTAATCAACACAACAGAACACCACATTTTAATAATAAGCCTTTCATTAAGCCTTTCTAGGAGGGGTCAGTGAGCCTAATCCATCAGTTTTTGTAAATAAAAATATATTGGCACGAACGACTCTTAGTAAAGAATCCTGTTGGTGCAGTGGGTTAAGCATTTGGGGCTGCTAACTGCAAGGTCAGTAGTTCAAACTCACCAGCCACTCACAGGTGAAAGCTGAGGCTCTCTATTCCAGCCAAGATTTACAACATCAAGAGCCCTACAAAGCATTTCTACTCTGTCTTAGAGGGCTGCTTTGAGTCAGAACTGACTCAATGATAGTGGGGGTCCCTGTCTTAGTTCTCTAGTGCTGCTATAACTAGAATATCATAAATGGTGGCCTCAACAAAAAGACATTTATTTTTGTGGAGTTTCGGAAGCTAGCAGTCCAAATTCAGGGCACCAGCTTTCTCTGTGTGTGTCCACTCTGGATAAAGTGTGGATTTCAGGGTTCTCTGGTGATCTTCATGTGGTTTAGTGTCTGTCTTCTTCCATCCCACTTCTTTATTTAATCTCCTTGATATCTCAAAAGGGGTTGATGCAAGGCACCCCCAAAACTGATGCTATCCATTGCTATCATACAGACAACCCATTCTCAAATGATATGATAGCCACCATAATAGAGGTGAGGATTTACAATACATACTTTGGGGGCACATTGTTCAGTTCACAACGGCTCACATGCCCATTTGCTTATGTAATGAGAGCAGCTGTTTTCAAGCTTCAAAGTCAAGTAGTAAAATTGAAGAAGCAGTGTTCGGTAACTGCAACAGAGATTGGATGACCCACAAACTCTAAAATGGACCCTTTACACAACACATATTTCAGCCCCCACTTATAAGTCTGAGCCTAATTGTTCTCGCATAATTTACCTATTTTCATCAGTGAAGAAGCTAGCTGGCTGTGATCTTACTTCTACAGTACAAGGAACAATTGTGAAATAGAGTTGGATCAATTGTGGGCTGGGGACTGAGAGAAGGATCCATTAGGCCCAAAATATTATGAAATTTATATCCTTGAAAATTTTTTGAAAGAGGATGATCTCTTAAAAATTGTCCACATATTCTGGCACCCTTTTAAAAACATAAATAGCTCATTTACAGAGGACATTGCTGCTCAGATTGATTCAAGGCTTTAAAAAGACTGAATCAGTCTCTCCTGTAGAATACTCCATCCAACCTGAAACTTGAAACTATTCCAGACAGCCTATCTACAACTCAGGGGTCTTGCAAAAGTGCAGATACCCAAACACACCTTCAACAACAATCCAGACCTAACGGATCAGAATCTCTGCTAGAATCTGAAGTCTTTGTAAGCTTCCCCAGGACATTCTTGTGCACATTAAAATTTAAGAGTTATTGGTTTGGAGTTTCTCCAAAAATAAGCAGCATTCAGAGATAATGTCCACGACATTTTCCACTCCTCAGGCCCAAATTCCTCAGCCTTGGTGCTTCCTGCTACAGCCCACAATGCTTGCTCTCCTCCTGTAACAGTGATTAACTGGTTACCATCTCCCACCAGCAATCTCTCCTGGAGATTACCGGTTCCACTGACCTTTCGTTTTACCTGTTCTCCATACCATGCTTCCTTGACAGGTTCTCCCCAAAGAGTCACTTCCGTCTGTTTTAGCATTAATTCCAGCTCATGGCCACCCTGTAGGACAGGGTAGAACTGCTCCTGTGACTTTCTAAGACTGTAACTCATGAAGAGAGTAGAAAGCCCCATCTTTCTCCAACAGAGCAGCTGGTGGTTTCAAACTGTTGACTGAGGTTAGCAGCCCAACTCGTAAACAAGGTTCCTCTTGCTTTCATAGGAAGAAGGGGGGGAGAGATATTTGAAAAATAAAACACAAAGACCTATGTATAAAACAAAATTCAAACAATAATTTCAGTAATAGTAAAGGTTTATCACGTTTGTCCAGCATCTGCATTATCATGAAGATAGCACACACAGGCTCTTCCTTGGCACCAGCTTGGCATCTTGAAGCTGCTGTTGTCAGGCACCAGCCTGGGAGCCGTTTTTAAAAAGATGACTAAATTGAGCATCATTTAGGTCATGTTTACTGTAACAGCAGAAAGACTGCACTGTGTCACAGGGAAGCAGTTGACTATCAGCAAAAATGTTGGAACCCATACAGAGGGTTGGAAGAAAGGACTGGCAGTTTGCTTCTGAAAGCTCACAACCATGAAAACTCGACAGAGCCATTTATGTTAGACCGGTTGACGAGAGAAACAAATCCAGAGACACACCTATATGGATAAGCAAGAGCTTTATATCAAAGAATAAATGCACATTAAGAAAATATCCCAACTCAGTTCAGATTAAGTCCATAAGTGTGATATTAGCCCATAAGTTCAAAACTAGTTCAAAATCCTTCTTCAGACTCACAGTGTCATATGCAAAGGTGCAAAATGCAGGGAGATCACAGGCTGGTGGAGCCAATGACAGTGGAAGCATCTCAGTGCTGGCGCAGGTCTCCACGTGGCTCCTCCAGCTGCTTTTCAACAGGAGGTGAAGCAGCGAGAGAGAGGAAGTGTCCAGAATTCTCTTCATGAGAAGGTCATCCCCACAAGGAGGCACAATCAGGCTGGGACCTGATTGACAAACTAAACTCCACCCCTTCACTCATAATACCTTCAAGTTGACACAAGATTCTGTAACTACCACACTGTTCTACTCTGAAGCGAATGGGGTTACCATGAGTCAGAATTGGCTTGACAGCAATGGGTAATGTCAATGACGTGCCGAGAGGCCACCAAATCCAGCTTCTGGAAAGCACACAGGTTAGGATGCATGGCACTCTTCAGAATGGCCTGATAATAGGCATTATTCTTTGGAAGTAAAGGGTCACACCAAGTCACTGTGTCATTTTAAGGATGGAACGCACTGAGCATAAAACTCTCTGATGACCGAACAGAGGCCCAGAGAAGCTAAAGTACTGCCTGACATGGCCAGTCAGGGCTACTAAATCCCAGCAGGCACATTTCCCCCCATCTTGCCTAGATAAGCCATGTGAGAATGGGCTGCTTACTCTTGTGATAACATACTGTAATTTCATACCTAATTATATATATGTAAATATTACATATTGGGGAGAAGAATTTCAATTATTACTAGCAGAATGAGTACCATTGCTAGCGATTTACATACTCTGAATTGCTTGTCAGTAGAAAAGGAATGTATAAACACATCTGTGTAACTAAGTTCCTTCATGTTACCTAAGTAACCTAGATAAAATAGTAAAAACCATCATTTATTGATCATTTAGTATGTTCTAGATGATATAGATAATTCCATACCACTTACATGTAATCCTGACAACCCATTTTATGTATCAGAAAACTGAAGTTCAAACTTTCCCAAGTTATGTGGCTTCTAAGTGGTCCCAACTGAGTTCTACTCTCAGGATTGTCTAACTCTAAAGCCCGTGCTAAATGATGGTGTAGTCATGTTATCTCTGCATTTGTTTAGTATCTGCCTCATACCCAACATATGATCATTAGTGTTCTTGCTTCTCTATGTCCCAAAGA